ACAGCCCGAGTCCAAACCACCTTAGCCCAAGTTTTGACCAGTAACAGCCAAAACAACTCCTTGCCAGCCGAGCCTGGGGAGCCTGGGAGGGGAGTGCGGGCAGCAGCCAGGCCCTGGGGAGCAGACAGCGCCCCACATCTCCACTGTCCTGCTGTGTGGGGGCAGGAGGGTCCCCCAGTTGTCCTGGTGAGGAGCAGCCCTCCAGCCGCCTGTCTGTGGGCCCGCTTCGACCCCCCGAATTGATAGGAAGAGTATTTTAAACTGAACTTTCTTCAGTTTCCTCTCCCCGACTGCAGGCAATGCCCCGAGAGTGCGGCTTTTCAAGGCCGCTGAGGGACAAGACAGGGACAAGACAGGGACGGGCACCTGTGCAGACAGCAGTCCCGCACGCAGCGCCTCCTGTCCTACAGGCCCGGAGTGTTCCCCAGAAGCCATTCCTCTCTGTTGCCCTTGGTAAGTGCACACCCACCTTTAACCGTGGGAGCCGCTTTGTGCACGTCCACGCACATCTGGGTACACTTCGTCTTTTCTGTCAGTGTGTGATTTGCAGGCCCCCCAACACTGAATGTAGGTTGAAGACATGTTTTGCCCCAAATATGGTTTGTCTTGTAATTTTTTTTTTTTTTTTTGGCCAGAGGGTACGTGCACTGGTCAGAGAAAGCAAGCACCCTTGGGACCAGCAGTTAGCGTAATGGCTATGTCGCTGGACTCCCACGTAGTCGACTGTGGTTCGAGTCCCGGACCCAGTGGCTTAAACTCACGCCGGGCGCGTGTGCGTGCGTGCCCAAGATCCCGAGAGGAGAAGGGAGGAGAAGGGATTGCAGCGTGGCCATCCTGCTTTCTGTCTTTCTAGTGAGCATGCGTGCCCTTACAGCAAAAACCTCTCTGGAAAAAGCACCCTCAAATACATGCACTAGAGGAGGGGGGGGGCCGTGTAAGCCCGCCCCTGGAAATGGGCGTTGTCACCCCGCAATCCTCTTTCCTCCGTTTCTCCTTTCCATCAGGATTTTGGGCACGTGTACACACACTCCCAGTTTTCAAGCTGCTGGCTGGATTGGACTAATGGCAGGCCACGTGGGGTCCGGCTGCCAAGGCCTGGGCCTTGACCCGGCACTCTGGCACTGCACCGTAATCAGCCCTTTGCTAGGAGCAGGTGCATCGATTTCCGCTGCCCACTATCAGCAGGCCTGCCTGAGTGAGGTCCGTGGAAAGCCTGTGCCCGTTCCTGTGTGACTCCAGCGGGACCCGGTGAGCACCGCCTGGGAGGAGTAGGCTGCCGGGGCAGGGCCGGGGCCGGGGCTGGGTGAACCCCGCTAGTCCCGTGGAGCGTTGGCTGCAGTTTCCTTGTTCTGGAAGGTTCTGCAGACACAGCCTGCGCCCCGCCGGCCTCCTCCCGGGGGTGGGGGTTCGTGCCTGGCAAGGAGGCTCCTTCCGAACCTGGGGTCAAACTTGGGCAAAGCGGCTCGCCCCACCCGGTCAGCTGTGGTTCCGAGGACACCCTCTCCCCACCGAGAACCCGGAGGGCCGGCCAGCCCAGCCCCGGGCCGGGGTGCGCTTTGGGGCTGAAGGTGCGATGTGCTTTAAAGAGCAGCCTGAAAAGGGGTCTGAAAATGTTTCTCCCAACTTTTGGGGGCGCTGAGTTGGGGACCCCGACCAATAGGGATCCAGCGCTAAGTGACGCCACAGCCGCCCCGGCCCCGCCCCAGCGCGCTGCTGCAGGGGGAGCCCGCGCCGAGGCCGGC